GGGAGGGTGAGTGAGAGGGGGGAGGGTGAGAGGGGGGAGGGAGGAGAGAAAATGTTAAAGTCACAAATAAAAAAATAAATAGAATTTAAAGGAAATGAAGAAAAGTGATGAAGCGAGACTAAGAAACAAAATAAAAGGAACGCATACAATCAACGCCACAAATACAACACAAATCTTCCAGAAAATCACAAACTTGAAATAAATATGTAGAGAGAGAAGAAGGAAATCCTGAAATCGGGTAACTTTTTAGGCCGGGTTCGGTTCCCATTGAGCAACACTGCGCGACCCCATAGATTTCAATGGAGCCATATCCATGTGTCAAAAAAGGCTCCTGCATCTTTTTGTGCAATGAGCGACCTGCATTTGTAGACATGCGGAAATGCGGCGCATAAATGCGCGATTGGGGTGCCATTAGAAATGAATGGCAGCACAAGTACACGGAAACGAGCGAATTGCTGCGTGCTCTCGGAACGCTCAGGTGTGAACCAGGCCCGATATAGTTTCTCTCTCTCCTTATGGAAACGTGTAAAGCAACTCGCCGAGTCCTTAAATATAAATGTGAAATGACCGGATCCAATGTTACGAGTCCTGAATGGAACACGGCCGTTCAGTCTGTTAGATTCTACAATGTAACAAGAGAGACTTTATACATAATATTTATATCTTTATATATTATTTATTCATGTCCCCCAGCGTTCTGTATTTTTTGTCATTTCTATAAAGATTTTAATGTTGCGGAAAACCCCCCCCCAGAAAAAAATGAATCATTCTAACAACGTGCTCGGATTTTCCCTCACGATGGTCACATAGGAGAAGATTCGAGGTGTCTCTAGAAGAATCCCACTTGTGTCTATTATTCATTGCGAGACCTGTGTACCCCGCTCTGGCCTGTGCATGCGTTACTGAGCTGTGCGTCTTGTCCCGGGGGGGGGGCGGGGAAGCATGGGGGCCACATTACCTGGGTGTGTCCTCAGCGGCTCCTCTCTCTCCGTCTGTCCCAGATCTTCGTGTCAAATCCTCATTTTCTTAAACCTGATTAGGAGAAGCTATAATAAGCGGCTTGCGTGGCGTGTGAGATCCGAGCTGCGACACCGCGGCCGCCTCCTAACTTCACGCAAGCAGGTTCAGATATTCACCGGCGCGGCCAAGCGATTCCCCCTCACCAGACGGACAGCGAAGTGGTCTTCATTAAGGTCTCGTTCACACCTAGGCGTATTGCATATGCGCATCTGTCGCGCGTTTTTTTAACCGCGATTCGCGGTAAAAAAAGTCGCGCGTTTCCGAAGGCTACTTGGCTGTGTCCCAATGGAAACGCGCAACAAAACGGCCCAAAGTAGTACCTGTACCTTTTCAGGCGTGGGCCGTTTTGTAGCGCGTTAGTGACGGGCGGAAATACGCCAAGGTGGGAACGAGACCATTGAATACAATGGGATTTATATTTTTGAGCCTTTTGTAGAGCGTTCGTCGAGCGTAGAACGCGCTACAAAACGTTCAGGTGTGAACAATCCAAGAAACACTAATAGACTTTTCCCAACAGGTCTGAGAGGAAAAAAAGATGACGTCCATCCTCCTGGGACACACTGAGGCATGCTGGGTAAAGGAGGGGTTATCTTAAAAGGAGAACTATGGGGTTAAGGCTTTTCCCCATAGTTCTTTTTAGGGTAACGGGAGGACACAAACTAGCGTCCTCCCGTCACCCTAAGCTCAGTATATAGGGAGCTACAGCTCGCGGTATACTGAGACGCCGGAGCGGATCCCGACATGGACGTCGAGATCCGCCCAGCTGCGTGAGTGACAGCTGGCTCTGCCTATCTAGAGGCAGAGCCAGCTGTACCCCCCCCCCCCCCATCCGTTCCGCCAGTCAGCGCTGGAGGATCGGAGCGGGGAGGGGGGAATCCAGCCCCTCCCCCTGTCACGGCAGAGAGCCGTGACAGGATCGAGAGGTGAGCGAACCTGGTATGTGTTCGCTCACCTCCCGATCTACTGAGCCGACCTGTGACAGTCTCATTGTCACAGGTCGGCTAGAACTATGAGGTGAGTGAAAAGCACCCCCCCTCCCCCTCATAGTTCTCCTTTAAGCCGGCCTACAGATTGGTTTTTTTTGCCATTGTCCAATCCCCACTACAAATCCCATGATGCATCTCTCTCCCCGAGAGTCGTTTCTGTGGCTGTGAGAATGGTGCAATGCCTCATGGGATTTGCACTTCCACCGCAGCTGGAGGGGCGGAGTTTGGCTGCCCCAGCTCTAGCAGTATAACCCGACAGTATACGACTTCCTGTGCGTCTTTGGTTTTTCCTAAAGCTGTAATCTTTTCATTCTTATTGGTTGCTTGGGCTCCTGGACCTTTACCTGGCCTGGACGT